AAGAGCGAAACTCCGTCTCAAAAAAAAAAAAAAAGTTATAAGCATTATATAAATTAAAAGGTATTATTAGCATAACATAGAAAATATTTCCACATGGGAGGGAGGGGTAAGCCTATGGCAGACATGGGGTTCGGAGAAAGGAAAGAAAGAGGGAAGAGAAAGAGAGAACGTGAACACATGCCGGTCTCCCTAAAAGAAATGTAAATGGCCGGGCGAGGTGGCTCAAGCCTGTAATCCCAGCACTTTGGGAGGCCGAGGCGGGTGGATCACGAGGTCAAGAAATCAAGACCATCCTGGTCAACATGGTGAAACCCCGTCTCTACTAAAAATACAAAAAATTAGCTGGGCATGGTGGCGTGTGCCTGTAATCCCAACGACTCAGGAGGCTGAGGCAGGGGAATTGCCTGAACCCAGGAGGCGGAGGTTGCGGTGAGCCGAGATCGCGCCATTGCACTCCAGCCTGGGTAACAAGAGCAAAACTTCGTCCCAAAAAAAAAAAGAAATGTAAATGTATATGGCTATCTCCCTTGCTCCTCGTCAGCAATATGTTTTCTTTACAGACACCTACCCCGCATTTGCTGATACTGGCAGCAGCCTGTTTAAATCAGGAGTGTGACATGCTACACTGCATGTCAGGGTGGAAAACAGCGATGATCTTCCACAGGGCTGAGCAGATGAAAAACACTAAATTCTGATCAATTGATTAATAAACAGAGAATTGTATTTTCTTCAAATACACGATTAATTTCACTACCAATACTTTATTCACAGGATACACATTATAACCGCTGTTAAAGATAGGTGGAGATGACCGCAATAAGAGATTTTAAGAGAAGGCAGAATTATTTATTTTTTTCTATTTAATTATTTTTTATTTGACACTCGTTCCACATAAGTTTATTTAAAAGAGTAAAGTGCAAGGCAGCCTGTACCCTAATGTCAGGTTTCCAGCTTGCTGCTAGGAAAAGCAGTTTGGGTAAGAGAGAATCTGTATTATAAATGAAATCCCCTAAGACTACACGACACACGCACATTCCAGCAAAGGACAGTGAACCAGTATCCCTTGTAAAGTACTAACACCTACTTCTAGGTTAAGTACGCTACAAATAATTGTAAGCAAAATTTCCAAAGTCAACCACCTTTAGCTTGGGGCTGGAGCAATCACCTAACTATACCTCCCACACCCGGCATCAACAACTTCCTTAAATCTTATGCTGAATTCTCCCAACAAAATATTTCCAAGCTTTCTTTGCTGAATAAAAATGGCGCTGCTTTTTCCATTACAATATTGTTGATTTCTCAGTAATCCTTAGGCCCTTTAACCATCAAACTCAATTGGCCTCATTTAAATGCCACCCTTCCCTGAACACTGCCAAGTACTTTTTGAGGGTTGGGCCAGGAGGTAAGGGTGGCTGCTTCTATCTACAAAGCTGCAACGTTCTCAGCTAGAATCCTGGGGATAACTGCCTCTCACTTTTCTTCATAACCTCTGCCTTCCCCGAAACTGTTGCCTCTGTCTCCCTTAAACCACACTCCAACGCAAACTGTCCCCAAAGTGCAGTAGCACTTAAGCTTCTCTGTGCCCCTCGCACCCATCAGCGCCATCTCTAATCCACCGTTCACACCTAGACCCACGCATCAGCCTTTCCGGGGGTCGTTCAGAGCCACCCGCCGGGCAGACACCACCACGCCAGCCTCTCCAGAACACAGCCTTCCGCTCCGTCTACAACCCAGCCTGTGCACCCGAAGGGACCCAACCGCTGAGTCTCAGCCCTGCTGCGGCGGAGGGCAGGGACCAGCATGCACACCCTCAAGTCTACATGAAGACCCTCCCCGGGGCTGTCGCCGGCACCAACGCCGGGACCACCACGGCCCTGGGCGGCAGATGGGGGTCTGGGGGGCACGCCGGGGCAGAACGTGCGCTGCGAGGGCGGTGGGAACGAGAGGTCACCGGGACAGGCTTGTCTTCCCCTCCCTTCCAGGGACGGCAGACCCCAGTCCCCACCCCCCTCCCAGGTCCCCGGTCTGGCGGCACCGCGGCCGCAAAGGGCGGCGAGGGCGCGTACCCGACGCCTGGGTGCCTCATGGTACCTGAACCCACCTGGTCAAGTGGCAGCTGCACCGCGTCGCCGAGGAGCCGCTGCAGGGTGGAGTCCGTGGTACCGACGGTGCGGGAGGGCGACGGAAACACTCAGACTAGGGACTGCTCTCAACTTTGTGCCTGGCCCCGCCTGCGCTGGCTGCGAGTGACCACTCCCCCGCCTCCGACTTCCAGAAACTCCCAAAGCCCGTTCCCCACCTTGTGCACGCAGGCGCTGACGGCCGCCCACGGCACAATGGCGGCGTGGAACCCTGACGCGGCAGCCAATCAGAGAGCGCCGGCTGCACAGCGCACGTCCCCTGTGCCGAGGGGCGGGGCGAAGGGAGGAGGCTCGGGCGAAGGCTGCAGCCTGAGGGCGCCTCGCGGGCGGGCGTAGTGGGATGCCTTTCCGGGGTGGGACTTTAGAAGGGCGTCTTTGCCCCCTCAGCCCTCCCTTTGTCCTCCCCGGAATGTCACAGCCATCCACCTCTCTCTAGGAGGGACAGCAGGCAACCTAGGGGTGGGCAGTGGGCCCAAGAAAAAGGAGCAAAGTGAGGGATGTCCCAAGCATTGCTGGGGACATTGGGACCAAGCTTGGGCCTGGGAGGAGGGGGACGGTAAAACAAACCTAGCTGAAAAACCCCTTTGTCTTCGAAACTGCTGTGTAAAAGCCCAAAGTTGAGAACAATCCCGTGGTCTGACCCTTTCAGTCCCCCTCCAGCC